TGGGAAGGATGGGGTGACTGGGTGATAGACATTGGGGAGGGTATGTGCTATGGTGAGCGCTGTGAATTGTGTAAGACTAATGAATCACAGACCCGTACCTCTGAAACAAATAATACATTATACGTTAAAAAAAAAAAGAAGAAGAAGAATATAGCAGGAAGGAAAAAATGAAGGGGGGGAATCAGAGGGGGAGATGAACCATGAGAGACTGGACTCCGAGAAACAAACTGAGGGCTCTAGAGGGGAGGGTAATGGGGGGATGGGTTAGCCTGGTGATGGGTATGAAAGAAGGCACGTACTGAATGGAGCACTGGGTGTTATACGCAAACAATGAATCATGGAACACTACATCAAAAACTAATGATGCAGTGTATGGTGATTAACACAACATAATAAAAAAAACAAAAACAAGTGTTTTAAAATCAAACAGACCTCCATTTTAAATCTAAATCTTACAACTATTTTGTAACTATACAACCTTGGGTAAGTGACTTTTTTTTCTCATTTATAAAATGTAGAAAATGATGTTTTTTTCACTAAAGGGTTATTGGAGGATTTAATTTGATACTGTATAGAAAATGGTCAGGTACCTCTTAAGCCTTCTCCCACCATAAGAATCCTATTCTAATAGTCAAATATTATAATAAAATATCATATATTTACACAGTTTCTAAAATTGCTATATTCCCATACCTCATACTGTACCAAATACATTAATGTATGGTATGTCACAATGTTTCTGTGAAGGAAAAGTGTGGGAAAACATTTCTGAAATGCATACTAAGTCACAGGAATTGAACTAGATGCTGACTATAACTTTTGCCTTTGTATAGAAACAAAAAGTGAAGTTCAGGGAGTTTAAGTGACTCATTTGAACTTGCTTGCCAATAACTGAATAAATATGTGTCTCAAATAAAAAAAAAAAAAAAAGAAGTTCCTAAGATCAAAGGACCACATTCCCTCAATTCCACCCTATATGCTTTCCCCTTTACTGTAATACTCCACCCCATCATGTATCCAACCCATAAACTCCTAAACACATTAAATCTACTTTAAAATGTAGTCTGTCTATTGTTAGAGGGTCCTTCCAAGATTCCTCTGCAATCTCCTTTAGGTGCCCTTGTCCCAAATCCCCATTTTTATTCTACCATTATCACCATCATAGCATTTATTGGGTCATATTATAATTGTCTATTTACAGTAGTGCCCTTTTATCTGCAGAGGATACCAAGACCTCAAGACCCCCCATGGATGCCCAAAACCATGGATAGTACCGAACCGTATTTATGCTATGTTCTTTCCTATACATACATACCTGAGATAAAGTTTAATTTATAAATTAGACACAGTAAGAGATTAACAACAATAGCTTAGAATAAAATGAAATAATTATTATAACAATATATTATGATAAAGGTTAGGTGAATATGGTCTCTATCTCTCAAATATCCTATTGTACTATACTCACCCTTCTTCTTGTGATGATGTGAGATGATAAAATGCCTACTTGAGGAGATGAAGTGAGGGGAATGATGTAGACATTGTGACATAGCATTAGGCTACTACTGACCTTCTAACAATATGTTGGAAAGAGGATTATCTACTTCTGGACTGCGATGGACCATGGGTAACCAAAACCATGGAAAGCGAAATCGTGGATGAGGGGGACTACTGTATGTGGTTGTACCTGCTCCTGTGCAGTGATTACCTTTCACCCCGGATTCCCAGCACCTACAGTACTTACTGACACCAGTAATCACAATATAAATATTGTTTAAACAAATTAGTGGATGCATGAGTGACTATTTTAATGTTGTTAAAAATCTTTACAGAAAACCGAAAAAGCCAAAAAATCCATCTACCTATAACAGGTGAAAGGAAGAGATATTTGGGGATAAATGAGTTGTCCCAAACCACTAAGATTTCACCAGTTAATGAATTGGCTATTTACAAGACTTACTCTGACATAGGTAAGATCTTTTCTGGCTTGTTCATTATTATATTCCTAATACAAAACACAGTATTTTCTTTTTAAAATCTATTTGATGAATACATTTTTAATAAATAATATGAAGCTACTAATAATGGTGTATTTTTTGTGCTTGGCTGCATCTATTTGTCTTTCCCACCTTTTATTCTATGTATATTGTCCTTTTTTTTCCTCAGTGCCAGAAAATTTTGTTTGTCTACCCCCTGAAACCCACATAAGAAGTTCAGTGTTTAACACTGGGCATCACTGGTTTCTACAAATGTTTGGAAGAAAAATGTTTTCAGTAGCAATTAGCATCACAGAGATGGTCCCTTTCTTTAGTAATGTATATTGAGAAATTTTGTTGTGTAACCATAGACAAATTTTATTGTTTTATTAAAGCTTTCTCCCCATTACAATAAAATAGTTACCAAAAGTCTGAATTTATCTACCAAAAACCTACAAAACTTCTCAACCCATCATAAAAATCGATGCATGCATTCTCAACTAAGAATATTGCCCTCTTCCCCACAAAAAATTCACTAAAAGACCACTGGATGGATGTGTAGTGCCCAGAATGTATTATTGATGGACATTTCTTTTAAAAGGGAAGAGAAATTCAAAAGGAAAAAACTAATACTCTTTCAGGGAGAAACCAACACAAGCAGGCTTGAGATACATCAAAATTTTCTCTCCTTCAATCTATAAGAAATGTTTCTCCAGATACTCTGGACTTTTTCAGGATATTGAGATTGAGGCCAGGGGCTGGATTTCTCAGGTTAAGGTTCTATCAGTATGACATCATTGTCATCAAACAGGCTGAGCTAGTTCCCATGGTCTTGGTCAATCCAATAGAGTTTCCAGCCATGGACAGAGAGAG